GCTGTTGCTGTTGCTGTTGCTGCTGCTGTTGCTGTTGTTGCTGCTGCTGTTGTTGAGCCTGTGCTTGACGGTGAAAGGCTTCAGCCTGGCGTTGGGCCATGGCGGCGTTTTGAGCCTGGCCCTGCTGCTGATTCTGCCCTTGAAAGCCACCCATCTGTGCGCCATTTGCATTGTTACTGGCGGGTACCACTGTGGCTCCTTGATCTTGACTACGAAGAGCCTCGATTTGCTGATTGGCTATGGCATGTACATCAAAATCTTGGTTTGGTTGACGTTGAGTCATGTTCATCTGTTGGTTTGGTATGCGGTTTTGCTGGCCATTTGGCTGCAAAGGTCCAGCATTCGGGTTGAGAGGATGTTGTTGAGGCAAATTATTGAGAGTGCCTCTTCGATAGAGCATTTCAGCATGCTGGCGGAAGCGGAGGAATAATGGATTGATGCCCTGATTGAGTAGTTGCTGCTTCCTCTCTTCGGGCCAACCTTGTACATCAGCCTGGAATTTTTGACGTACTTCCTCCTTGCACGTGTCCATGAGCTTCTTGGTGAACTGGTTGATGATGACTTGGTCCTGACGCTGCTGGTTCTGGTTGGGCTGCATGTTGGGCTGTGGAAGGTTTTGGCCTTGATTGGGGGCATTCATGCCCATTCCGGGTTGTGCTTGCGACATGGGTACGGGGGAGATTTGCATGGGTCGCTGGAGCTGAGCGTTGGGAAAGGCGGGATTGTTGAATTGCTGTGGAGTGCCCTGCCTCATGCCTTGGGGGCCAAGCTGTCCCATCATATTCATTTGGCCAGGATTCATGCCGTTCATCGGGTTACCCGGGTTCCCAAGGTTGCCTTGCATACGCTGAATTTGCTGCTGGCGTGCGCTGGTCATGGCGAGTAGCTTCGCCTTGACCAGTTGAAGATACTGGTCTTTGGTTTGAGAGGACACGAAGGTTTGCGTCTCGAACTGGAGAGACGAGCGCATAGCATCGAACTCCGGGATCTCAGGCTTTAGCAAGCGGTATTGCGTGAAGAACTGAAGGGCAAGCTGGCCACGTTCCTCGGGCGGGGTGGCCTGCTGCCAGCCTGGGGGGAGCTTGCCCTGCTGGAGCTGTTGGCGGTAGTGCTGGACAAAGTGCTGGAGGCCGGCGGTGCCTCGTGCAGCCATACCAGGCTGCTGCATGTTTGGGTTGTTCATAGTAATAGCAAGGTGGAAGCGATGCAAACAGCAGAGGGGACGGTGCTAGACCGCGGGAACAGAGCGAGCGGAACGCTCATGCAGGACGGAGGCGGGTCGTGTGCGGCGACTGGTAGGATCTTTGCGGCACTGAGGCGTAGACTCAGTAGAGCAGGGCGCGGGCGAGGTGAGAGCTACGAGTTATGGGTTGCGGTCGTGGTGGCAGCCGTAGTGCAATGGTGCAGGATACTTGGAGGGAGGGCTCGTCGTCGTCGTCGAGTGCTCGGCAGGCAGCGAAGACTGGCAGCGGAAGGAGCTAGTTTGCGTTATGGGTCGCAACGAAAGCCAGTACAGGCGGTGGTAGCTCAGGCACGGTGGAGGCACCAGCGCAGTTGGAGAGTGAGGCGCAAGGTTGGGGGGGTGGGGGGAAGGGTGCACGAGGCAAAGATGGCGGCGGGATTCCAGGGCTCACTGCCTAACTAGGCGTTGGCTAGCAGAGCTGGGACGGGCGCAAAACAGAGCCCAAACCAGACGCGAAGACCACAGCGACTGCGACGATTACGCGCTGCAGATATCGCAGCTGGGTGATGTGGAGTTGTCGATGTGCAGGCTGTTGCTGGCTGCTTTGCTGCTGTTCGCAGGCGGGCGCAGGCGTGGGTGGCTACAAGCAAGCGGCAGCTGGGCACATAGGCAGGTAGGCAGATAGACCAGACCCGTGGAACAGAGACAGAGCAGCTAGGTAGCCAGACGGCGGGCAGGCAGGCAGACAGGCAGGCAGGCAGGGAGTGGAGGTGCAGTGGAATGGAGTGGAGTGGAGTGGAGTAGAGTAGAGTGTCCTTCTGGGAGTGAGCAGTGGTAGACGCGGTTGATTTCCAGCTGGGGCAGGCTGGGCTGCTGCGTCGGTGTGTGAAGTGAGAATGAATGAATGGATTCGGTATGGACGGTATGGATGGATGCCCAGCAAGTGAGCAGTGAGCGTGCGGGTGCGCCAGGCTGGATCACACGCTAGCCTGGCTGCTGGCGCAAGCCCCAAGGACAAGGGTACCGTCGACCACCGCTCAGGCAGTCTCCACCACACATCCGCAGCCTCCAGTTCCACCGTGGTTACGCCCAGACTGCAGACCAAGCAAGCCAAAAGCAAAAGAGAGTCAAGTCAGACCTGTCAGAAAGCAGAAAGAGAGATGGGGTTGGGGGGTGGTGAGGGAAAGAGAGAAGAGGGACCAACAACAAGCCATGTTCGCCACAACCAGATCCGCCAGGGCAGGCCGGACCCTTTGGACCCCCTTGTTCAACACGTAATTAAAAGGGGAGGCCCCGAAGAGAGGGGGGGGTGGGGGG